AATACAGTAGTGGAAGAAAATCACACTTTACCATTTTGTCTTCTCTTCATTCCTTTTCTCCTAAGAAATTCCAGGAATCAGGGGAGGATGGGACTATGGCGTGGGGTTCTTTTGTTTGTTTTTTACTCCAAACACTAGCAGGGCCTGCCAAAAGTAATATTCTGTTACATTACCTAAATAACTTTTTTTATTATTATTATTTTTGAAAACACCTTTAGGTACAGAATAGTTACGGTGGAGTTAATAATACACATTAAATATGTCTGTGCAGTTTATATAGTAGCTTAGTGTTCACCATGTGGCAGTTTCAACTGGGAAGCCTGTCTGTTACGAATGTTTTCTCGAGTGATTCTTGGTATTACGCAAATAATCTGATATTACAGCATGCCATCAAGACTGCTGTTTTCAAGCCAGTGTAGTATGCTTTACTGAAGCTAAGTGCAGTTTGTTGCAATGGAATGTAGTTTGTTCTACACGTGTTAGAGGAAAACAGTGATGCACAATCTTTGCAGATTAAATGCTGTGTTCTATACAGTGTGCTTTTTGTATAACAATGTGAAAAATACCACGCCATTGCAGTAATGGCACATGCTGGAATCAGCTATTTTACACTTAAATGCTGGATGTTGTGTGTAATGATTGAACTTTGGTAGTGAGCTCACGACATAAGGTTGTTTTGAGGATCTTTTTGTATGAAGTTATTGCATGCCTTTTTATATGTTAAAGTACTTTGAACAGTGTTAATAGAGTTGGAGGGAGAACTGGAGAAAAGTATGGAATAAAGATATGAATACTTCATTCGGTTAAAGACTACTACAGTGAAAATGTAGGAGAAATGAACAGACTGACTTAAATGGACATGATAATTCAAAAACCATGGAATTGACTCAATTTAAGGTTGAGTTCTACATGATATATATCTGTCTTGGGTTTTTTAAATCTTACGACAATAAAGTATATGCCTTTAGAAATAGGCTATGTTGCTTAAACATGTATAGAGTACTTAAAAAGTCTTTTCATTTAAAAGCACTCCTATATTCCTTGTAAGTACTTCTAAAAGTCAGTTTTCATTGAGGCAAGTGAAAGAAGAATGTAGTAAATGTCTTCCTGATCATTTAATAATTGTTTGTAAAATGACATATGAAAAGGGTATCTGTTATTCAATAAATTGGCAAAATGTATTAATGAATGTATAATGTGAAAATACCATAGAAGAATCCTCACAATACTGAGATAAATAGATCTTAATTTTATTTTTTCTTCATTAGAGTCTCAGTTGGATTGTCTATTGCTGTGAAACAGTAAGATGATATTAAAAAGAAGTGCAGAGAATATTTTAGATTTAGATTTAAGAAAACTGACTGTCTTCTCCTCCTCCCCTCTCTTTTTCTACACTTCATCTGTTTTGGTTTTTTTCCTTATAGCACCATGTAATGGCTGTTGCTGAGGAGGAAAAAAAGCTTGAAATTAAATTCCTTTTTTTTTTGTTGTAAAAGACCTAAATACTTTTTCATTTTTAAAACTGCACAAATGAGTAATTTCTTGAATATATGATCTGGAAAAGTTAGAGTAAGTTCTACCTGAATGCTTTTGATGTATGACAGTACAGAATTATTCTTCATAGAAAAGAAAGACTCCTTTGTAGAATTGTTCTCAGATTTTATTGGCCTGTTTTTAACTTTTTCCTTCTTATTTCTTTCTTTATATTTTCTTTTTTATTTTAGCAACTACCTCCCGTCCCCCTAGTGCTGTGTCCCTGACATGTATGCAGTTTGAGTGTTCCCAACTCACCATTGGGATTCCTTAGCATAGATTATTGTGCCTGGATAGAGCCTGAGTTATTCAAGCCCTACCTAATTGTAGTGTTCTGTGTTTAGATGTTTGTAGCACAGAAACGGGCCCACTTCATTAGGTAGTCTCTCTTTTGACAGCCTAAGGATTTATCAAGTTTGGTACCTCATAAACCACCTGAATGTTCTTTTGACCCACTTAAGATCTAAATGACAGTAAATTTGTTGTAATATATTTGAAGTGCCAAAGGTTATGTACTAGGTTATGGTACGTTTACAGTTGGAAGTTAGGTTTTGCACTCAATTAGATTTTAATTTCCTAATTACACCAAGATGTATTTCAGTTACTCAGTATTTCCACAAAAATTCTTAAACATTTTCAAATGTTTGGCCGAAGCAAGTGGTTTTCTCGTATTGTTAATGGGGAAGTGTTGTGCAATTGTTTTGAATTCCACAGTCATTTTCAAACTCACTGGTATGGGACCATCTGTACTATCTGCAACGATTAAATCACACGCCCCAGTGGGGTTTAACAAGTAAACTAAGCAGAGAATATGCTCCAATGACTTTTTCACTTGCAAGCCAACTTGTAATTATTAAAATGAAACTCTACTATATTTAGCACCTCTGCAGTGACTCCTTTTAGAATGTAAATGTAGAATATCAAACTGCATAATTGACTAATAGCAGATCATTTGACATATTTGCATACCAACAACGATAAGCAGATTAAAGGTAGCGAAAAGATCAATTTTTGTGCATTAGTGAAGAAATTTAGTGAAGCTTTGAATGTGCTATCTAGTCTTTATCTGATCTGTAAGTGAATAAAAGCACCTTTTGTTTCTAACAGTTTCTCAAGAAAGGGGGGAGTGACAAATGCAATTTAGGCATAGGTAGAGTTCCTACAAGAGGCAGAATGGGACATTTACAACTATGAAAAGATTACTGACTTCTAGCTAAAGATACAGGCTACTTTTGGAGCAATTCTGGAAAGATTATATACACATAATTTTCTGCTTAGAAAGAAAATGTTATCATTTTTCTACATTTTGAGATTATTTTTGAAAAGCATCTTCTCCCCACATGTAGTTTTTGAACCACGCAGCTTTCAGTTGAAAACATTTCACACAGAGTAATTTATATCTTGAAAATAAAGTTCTACTTCTCCCATAGGATAAAAATGTAAACTTCCTTGCAGATGATTTTAAAACTTGCCACTTACAGTCAGTCTTTCTTGCCCTTTAAGATGTAGGGATGAAAATTCGGGACATCTCCATATTAGTTGGATTTTTTCTCTCAAAAATTAGCATAAGACTTCATCCATGCACACACTAGATTTGAAATTATCTTTTTAAACAGCTTTGCTCATAGCCATGTATTTTACTTACTTTAAAGAACAAATATGAGGGCCATACTCTAATGTTGTAAGTAACGAACTGAAACTTTCTGCCATTCAAGAAGGATGTTTAATATTTACATATGTTACCTCTTCCTGCTGTATATTATGTTTAGCTTGGTTTTCCACCTACTAATGAATGTAGCATTCTCCCTAGATTATACATAACTACATTTATTGCTGTTGGCTCTGTATCAAGATCTATTTGTAATTTTCCAGCTGTGAAAATGTTGCCTTGCATTTGGAAAGGTTTCATGATTCGGGGACCTAATGAAAATCATGCTCATTAGGTACTAGGCTGCATTTCTTTCTGTACAGGATGCCCTTTCTTAGATGCGTCTTAAAACAGAACTGCTGTCTTAATATGTTTACTGCTGCACTGGATGTTGATTTACACTTCCAGCTTTAAAGAAAAATTATTGTCTTATGTCAAGTATGTAAAGTAAGCTCATGCTTTTTTGCTCTTTATGTATCCATTACTGTTGTAGATACGATAGAGGCGTTAGTTGTGGGCTTTTAAAACACTGATATTTAAAGCATGTTGACTAACTTCCTCTCTTTGAAGTACATGGTGAAGGATTATAGTGCTGCTGTGTTGATGATGCTAGATTTAAGGGTCTGTCAGCACTTTCGGTATGAAACCCTATTTTCAGGGATTTATAACTTCTAAATGTAGATACAGTCACTGGAAGTATTTAATATGCAATAGGTAGCACTTTAATCTGTTTATGAAGGATTTTGAGATTTGTTTCTGTTGAAAAAGTCACAGTCTCCTGCAGCATGGTGGGCATTTGCTTTATCTTTCGTAATTTGTACGTTGAAGAAGCTACTGTATATTACAAATGATAGAGCCCTTCCTATTCATCTTAGAAGCTTCCAGATGTCTTGTATTACAGTGTACTATAAAAAGCTGAAGATCCAGGTTATATAGGAAGCCTGTAAAAGATATGAACATTACTTATAACTTAAGGGTTGATTTCGTCTTGTGCAATCAATGGTAGTTTGTCTACATTTAATAATGGTACAGATTCACAACTGTATGCACATGTGAGAAGTATAAACTTAGAATGCATGAAAAACTTTATTTTTCATTATTGCAACTTCAACTCCTTTAATTTGATTAAAATGTTATCTTAGTATTTTATTTTCTGTCCATTAAATAAATATTGCATGTCTAACACTAATAAAGCACCACAATGCACTACCGACGTATTTCTTGAACTGTGATGTTAATCTGTGTAATGCATAGCTTGTAACTCCCAAACTCAGCTTAAGCATGTCTTTGTAGAAACCATGCTGTTAAGACTCTCAGATCAGACAGAGGTCTATTTCCTTAAGGACATTTCTAAAGGAATACTCCAGCTGTTTGCAGGGTAGCCATTAAGGGAAATCTCTTCAGTAGTGTCAAAACTTATAATTAGTGGGAAAAAAAGGCATGTTCTTAAGTATGTTTGGTTTTGTATGACAGCTGCAGTCCCTTTAAATGCACCATTCCTCTGATTGTGTGGTTGTGTAAATAGTACAAGGAGATCCTTGGCACTGCAGACCAGAACTGCATTTAGCATGAGGACGAACACTCTGCAGGTTTGGAGAGGGAAAACATAATGCATATTTCCCTTCATGCCTGACAGCATAAAATCCAGCTAGAATGACAGAAAACTGGAACATTCTTTCCCACCTTGCTGTCCCACAGGCATTTTTTCAATGCTCCTGCAATTTTTTTCCCTTTTCTCAGGAAAAAAAAGACTTTTGCC